GCTTTTAAGAAACTTTTAAAAACATTTTTATTCTGGCAGGCTTATTAGAATCAGCCAACTTAAAATCCTATTAGAGTACCAGCCTTTTATATTTATTACCGTCTGTTTGGTCAATTTTTAAATTGTTTTTAATTGGCTTTTTAAAAATGTTTACATTTTCATTATTTAGTTTAAGCTAGTTTGATATAGAGCACTTTGCTATATTATGTCTATGTATATTATTTTGTTGTGTACCACTCAGAGTGAGCACTGGTCAGGTGGGCGATATACACATTGAATTAATCCTCATCATCACAGAAAAATTACTTAAGGAAGTGAAAATGGAGAATATTTTGAAAACAATAGAAATAAAGGCTCAATATAAGAAACAACAATTTGAAAATAAATTAAACAAGTGGAAAAATAAACCAGTACATAGACAATACCTGAGAAATATTGATGGAAAGCATGATCATAATTCAAGATGGGCATGGCTAAAACTGGGGACCCTTAAGAAAGGAGCCGAAGGCTTGATTTTTGCTGCATAAGAACAAGCACTCCAAACCAATGTGATGAAAGCTAAGATTCAAAGAATTAGGGCTAGCAGCACATGTTGACTCTGCCAAGAAAAAGATGAAACTGTGTCACATCTCATCTATGAATGTACAAAGATTGCATAAACAGATTACAAAGTTAGACATGATAGAGTGGCAAAGGTCATTATGCAAAAAATATAACTTGCCAGCTTCCAAAAACCCATGGGAACATTAGGCAGAGATGTCAGAAACTGAGGAAGTAAAGATCTTGTGGGATTTCTGGAACGAAACAGATAGACACCTTGAACATAAGACACCAGACATAAGAGTAATAGAATGAATAATTGTCTGGATCATTGACATTGTAATTCGAGGGGATGCCAGAGTTGAAAATAAAGAATTGGAAAAACTAGCAAAGTACAGAAACCTGACAATTGAAACATCTTGCCTCTGGAAGAAACACACTTAAGTTGTCCCCGTAGTCATTGGGGCTTTCGGAACAACATCAAGAAATTTCACACAGTATTATAAGCAGTTGCAGATCTCAGAAATCACACAATCAGAGCTACAAAAACCGGCAATATTAGGAACAGCATACATACCGCGTCGATATTTAACAGATACTTAGGGTTTTGGTTAAAACTTGTATCTGTTATATATTACCAGTCAATGTTTTTATAATGTTGACTATGCCTGATGATTTTGAACAACAACAACTAACCCTGTATTTTGAGATTGTATGTTTTCCACTCTTCCATCGTTCCCCTTTTATTTCTTTACCTCTGTACCCAGGTCTCGAAGAAGATGAAACAGTTCAGTCACCACTGTTTCATTTTGTCTTAGCCATGTTCAAGCCAGCATTTTGTAAATCAGGATGAACCAGAATGACATAGTTATCCCTCTTCCTCCTTCTTCTTCAACAGAACTTGAAGAGTCCCGACAGAAGTGTCCACCTTGTTGGTACAAATTTGCAAACATTTTCTTGATCTGGGACTGCTGTCCATGTTGGTTGAAAGTAAAACATTATGTTAACATATTTGTGATGGATCCATTTGTTGATCTTGCCATTACAATCTGCATTGTTTTAAATACACTCTTTATGGCGATGGAACATTACCCAATGTCGGAGGAATTTGAAGCAGTACTTAATGTCGGAAACCTGGTGAGTCATTCTTTGGATATTGCTTCTTTAAATAACCTTTCTTCTGAAGTGTGACTTTAATTATTAACAGGAATGGGAAGCATATTTTTGCTTGTGGTTCTTTTTTCTTTTTCAACCAAAATTGCTGCTTTTGAGCACTTTTTTTTTTGCCAAATGGGATACAAAGATCTCTACTCTTGATTGCAGCTTTCTACTGTTACAACTAGCAAGGTACCAAATACCCACCAAAAAGAGTAAAAATGTATAAAACAATGGTCCCCCACCTTTTCCAAACCGTGGACCAGTTGCGGGGGCCGGGTCTATGCATGGGGGGCGGGAGATTTGTCTCCGCGACCTGGTCCTTCCAAGGCCACGGACCGGCACAGGGCCAGAGACCAGGGGTTGGGGACCCCTGGTATAAAACAGTGCTACAGCTGCCATAAACAGTTGCTAATAAGCAGTTTATGAATAAGCCAATCAAATACCTGATAATAAATAATAGCCAAAATTGTGTTATTTAGCATATTAAATTACACTAGTCTCACTGAATCAATGGGGATTTGATGAGTCAGCTCCTCTGTGAGTTCCATTGAATCAAATGGGCCTACTCTAACTGTGACTTATTTTAGCACAGTAAATTGCAATTAGAGTAATCCCATTTGAACCATTTGGAAATTACAGAAGAGTTAATTCACTAAATCTCCATTGACTGTGGGCTTATTCAATACAATTTACTACAACTAAGAACTATACCATCAAATACCTTCAGATATGTGTCACTTATAAAACAGGTGAATTGAAAATATTTTTTCTCAGCCCCCATGATGCAAAGACTGAATAGCCCTTTTTGCTCCCTTTTTCTCTCCTGCCTAGGTGCTTCTATTTTTTTCCTTGATGAAAAGATTCGAAAGGGCTTTTTTCTATGTGGTTCTCTTCTGTGCAGTCACAACCTTTTTTCATGGTTTTATAAAACGAAGTCTCTTTCTCACTCACATACTCCCTCCCTCCCTAAATTTCCTCCAGTCTTACTTATAAACAAGCTCTGTCAAGCCACCAGTCGCTCCTTAATTGAAGTTTTACCTCGTGCTCTCAGTCACCTCCCCCGGAAGCAGTCATTGATTGCCCCAGGCTTTGTTGCAGAGCGGTGACCAATTAAACTGGCTTATCTCCCAGTCCGATCAGAAGGGAGGATTTACAAGTGCGGAGGATTTAGAAATGCCTTACAACTAAGGAAGGAGGGAGATGTGATTTACATCTTGAGGTTTGTCTGCAGGGGAAGGGAGTGGAGATAGAAAAGCTGGACATTTTAAAGCTTTTTAGCTTTGCCTGCCAGACACAGGATTTTAGCTTCAAAAGGAGGACATGTCCTCTCTTTGCCGGACGTCTGGCAACCCTAGACTCAGAACCCGGACCCAAAGACTCTGGGCACACATGCAGGGATCAGCCGATAGGCCGGCGTATGTGCAGACTGGGACAGCAGGCCTCACTGCCTCCTGCTGCTGCCAGCCGCCACCACCTTCTTCAGAGGCAGGGGAACCCCGCTTCCCTTGCATGAGCCAGCGGCTGCCTCCGCCCACATGTGCGCCGCCCAGCTGAGAGGCTGGACACAGCAGGCCCAGACACAGCAGGCCCACTTCCGTTCCCCGGAACTGGCCCCTGCCTCTGCGCATGTGCAAGTCTGTCAGCTGGGTGGCAGGTGCCCGGGTGGAAGCAGGTAGAGAGGCCCATCAAATGGTTCCAAGTTGTGAGTCGAGTTGCAAACCCCCTTCCCGCAACCCTCCAGTCGAGTCTGAGTCGAGTCGCCAGTGTGACCTAAGTTGGATTCGACAGCACGTTGTGACTCGTGAGTTCCCAATCCCTGACATAAGCGGTGCCAACACTCTCTCTACAAAACTTCTCTACCCAAAGCCACATATTTTTGTTTTATCCAACTACCCTCCCTCATGGACAGTCCTGTTTATTCATTCATTTTTATTATTATTATTTAAACAGCTTCAGGAACTCTCTTGCTGGAAAGATAAGATAGGGAAGCTTTTATATCTTTTGAACTGCGCCACCTACAGGCACTTCAATTGGAACTGCAAGTAGAAGGCTTTTCCCCTTCTCTGCTTCTGTGGCCACTTACATTGGAGAGAACCGAATGCCCCGCTGCAATTCCACAGCGAAAAAAAATACAAGTTAATTCGCATTTCCTTTGCTGTGTCATTACAGCCTAGGTGACTGGATTTTATCCAACTTAATGAGTGGAGGTAGAAGCCCCATTAAACCGATTTTTAGAAATGAAGGCTACTGTATTTTAAAAACTTTATTTCTTGCAGCTATCAGCTTCTTCATTGCGAAAATCTGAAACGCTACGGTGGCTGTCATGCTAAACTTTTGCAAACTGATCAATCTGCATTTTACATTTAGGTTTTCACTGGAATCTTCACAGGAGAAATGCTTTTCAAACTAATAGCCATGGATCCATATTATTACTTCCAAGAAGGCTGGAACATTTTTGATGGCATTATTGTCACTCTTAGTTTGGTTGAACTGGGACTAGCAGATGTGGAAGGACTATCAGTTCTCCGCTCATTCCGATTGGTAAGTTGTCTCTATCAGCAAAATGTTATTGCATTTTTGTAAAGACAAACCTAAACTTGGAGCTTTTATGTTTTCAGGTTGCCTAAAGTTAATTCATTGTGACATTAATCTGTAATGCAGTCCTTACATTTAAATTAATTATATTGATTAATTTTCTTTCTTTGTGCAATATTTAAAGCATTCTAGGGGTTGTATCCAAAAATGGCCTCTGCTGATCAAAGGTTCTTCGATCCAGTGAAGGTTTCATTCACAGGAAATGCAGAGGGGTGAGATTTTTGCAATTCCCCTTCTCCCTGTCGCTTCCTCATTGTTTCATATTCGCCCCAGAAGTGTTGGGTGACCTTTGAAAACAGCTTGGGGCTGCAAAGAGAGAGGGAATGGACAAAAATTGCTTTTCTCTCCTTCCACCTGGAGGAAGCCTCTGCTAGAACAAAGACCCTGCTCCAAGCTAAGAAATCACTATAGAGTAGACATCATCAGTTGCAAGTTGAGTCACACAACTCAGTATATGACAGATAACATCTAGAGTGATTTATTCACTTAAGGCAATTCAAGTCCAAAATTTATACCGTTTGTGTTACACCAGCACAAATATGCAAGAGGATCTGGGCCTTTGAATGGTAAACTTGAAATATATAGTGTTCAGTTTAGTAAAAGGTAGTTGGTTGTGACTAAATTCCACAGAAGCAAATGAAACAACTTTCATTTATTCATTTTCCCCCCACTGGTTTAACTGAATCTTAATCCTGAGAAAATGTATTGAGAATAGTAGTTTTCTAGTGCACTTCTAAGGACATCTGGCTGGACATAATGACTTTATTAATAATTCTAGATAACTACACTTAGGACTGCAGCATTTGTTGTGATTAACTAAAGTCACTTCAATGCCACTGGAACTTTGCTGCTTCTTAACAATACTTGATCTGTCCCAAAACAGACACACTTTGCCACTTTTTTTTCCAGCTGCGTGTTTTCAAACTGGCAAAATCCTGGCCAACTCTAAACATGCTGATCAAGATTATTGGCAACTCTGTGGGTGCCCTGGGGAACCTGACTTTGGTCCTGGCCATTATTGTCTTCATTTTTGCCGTGGTTGGAATGCAGCTGTTTGGCAAAAGCTACAAGGAGTGCGTCTGCAAGATCTCCAGCGACTGTGTGCTTCCACGCTGGCACATGAATGACTTCTTCCACTCTTTCTTGATCGTCTTCAGAGTACTTTGTGGCGAATGGATAGAAACTATGTGGGACTGTATGGAGGTTGCAGGTCAAGCCATGTGCCTTACAGTCTTCATGATGGTCATGGTGATTGGAAATCTAGTGGTAGGTAATTTCCAATAATAAAACATTTATACTAGAACAGAGTTCTGATTTGAGCATGAAATGAGATAATTGGTGCTGCCATGTCAAATGCATGCCTCTCAATGGGATTTTGTTGGTGTATACGTATATCAATCGTTGTGCTCAGATATTGTGCTAAGTGGCTAAAATTCCTTCCAATACTAGAAGCGATTGGTAAGCAGAAAGACATTTACCAGCTCATACAAAATAATTTACCCTTATATACATCTACAAACTACTCTTCCAAACAGATTAGCCACTCGCTTAAGAGGTGTGGCTTCCTACAAAACGGAAATCTGCTAGGTTTCAGATCTGAGCAGGAAAATTCACACCAGTAGAAGGAAAAACAATATTGTGCAGATAATCTAGATCACTGGTTCTTAACCTTGGGTTACTCAGGAGTTTTGGACTGCAACTCCCAGAAGCCTTCACCACCAGCTGTCCTGACTGGGGTTTCTGGGAGTTGCAGTTCAAAAACACCTGAGTAACAAAGGTTAAGAACCACTGATCTAGATCAAAAGTGATTCCAGCTACATAGATCAAAAGCAGCTGCTTAAGATCAAACTTGGTCTGGTGCTTCTTAGGTTTGCGGTGGAGTCTTGCAAGACGCTCACCTTGTGAGGAAAGGGAGCAATTATTAGCAACAACTCTTCATCCGACCTTGTAGGCTTTTGTGTGGATGTAAAGTCCTGTAAAGGCCTTGAGTAGAAATTGCCAGGAGGCGGCTCTATGGGACACCAGACTGTATGGACGTGCTAGTGGGACACTTTTGCTATGAGTATGGATGGTCTCCAGTCTTTTCCCTTCTTCAAAGTTGAGAATAATTTAGACATTCAACTATTCCTTCTGCATATCCAGGATTATGTTTGCATACTATGCTACAATATATGTCAAATGCCTTATTCAAGTACATGATATCTACTAATGCAAAAGCTAAAAACATCATCCGCCTCCCTCTCTCCAGGTCCTGAATCTGTTTCTGGCTTTGCTGCTGAGTTCTTTTAGTGCAGACAACCTGGCTGCCACGGATGATGACAATGAAATGAACAATCTCCAGATTGCCATGGCACGAATAGATAAAGGCATAGCTTATGTGAAAAGAAAGCTCCGGGAATTCATTCAGAAATCCTTCGTTAAAACGCAAAAAGCTTTAGATGAAATCAAGCCCCTGGAGGAGCTAAACAACAAGAACAGCTGCATCTCTAACCACACCATAGAAATTGTCAAAGACCTGGATTATTTTAGAGATGGAAATGGGACCACAAGTGGCATTGGTACAGGCAGCAGTGCGGAGAAATACGTTGTGGATGAAAGTGATTACATGTCGTTCATAAACAACCCAAGCCTGACTGTGACTGTGCCCATTGCTCTTGGAGAATCCGATTTCGAAAATTTAAACACTGAGGAGTTTAGCAGTGAGTCAGATTTGGAAGAAAGCAAAGAGGTAAGCCTTTATCCAGTTCCTGGGGCAGGAAGGGGACTGTGAGCTACTTCAGAGCTAGTTGTTGTTGTTTTTTAAAGGAATTAAGCCATGTGAAGAACTTTCATGCATAGGGCTCAGAATACAAAACCATTTCTCCAAGGCAGCAGTGATCAGGCAAGACGGATTTTTCATCTTTCTCTCTGATATGGAGACTCTAAATTACTTCTTGTCTTCCTCAGTTTTTCTTAGTCCTGTCCCGCCTCATATATTATAATCTATTTTAGGTGTTTTGTGGACGTAATTGTCATCATCACATCTTCATACCTAGGAAAATGAATTGTCTGAAATGTTGGCATATACGTAGGTTCTCCCTGAAAGCGACCATTGTAAAATCCCACCTTGAAATCCCTCGACAACGATATCTTTTTTTCTCTCCTTAACAGAAGTTAAATTCTTCTAGCTCATCAGAAGGAAGCACAGTCGATATTGGGCTTCCAGCAGAAGAACAACCAGAAGCAGAGCCTGAAGAAGTTCTTGAGCCTGAAGCTTGTTTTACAGAAGGTCAGGGAAGACTATATTAAGCATCAGATAAGTTAGTTTGCTTGGCTTTTGTTTAATTCTGTTGCTGGAAGAAATCAGCTTGGTAGGAACGCAGACCAAGAATAAATGCAGGATAAAAGCTGACACAACGATAACGGTTTACTAATTCAGATGTTCGCTGGGGGAAATGTAAAGCTGAATTTTTATTTTTCTCTTTTCAAAATTCAATGTATTTTGTAGGCTGTGTACAAAGATTCAAGTGCTGCCAAGTTAGTGTAGAAGAAGGGAGAGGAAAACAATGGTGGAATCTTAGAAAAACCTGTTTCCGAATAGTTGAACACAACTGGTTTGAAACCTTCATTGTCTTTATGATTCTTCTGAGTAGTGGTGCTCTGGTAAGTGAAAACAGGAAAGATTTATTTAAACTGCTTTTTGAAATGTCTTGTTTGCATTACCAGTGCATAATATCACATTGAAATTGCCAAATGGCAGTTACTCTGAATGGTAATTTTGAAAATGAGAAAGTCTTTGAACCTGTAGTATTTATAATTTTATTCGGTCCATATGCATGCATATGGGTACAGTATAAGCCTCTGTTAAGGAGCGATGTGGCTGGGGAAGCAATGGAATCAATGGACATTGCTACAGTATTGGCAGAATGCTGTTTGGTCATGCAAAGGCTCTGTCAGCAGAATAGGGAAGGAGGCAAGTTTTGGTGCTACTCCCTTTTTCTCCCACAATCCTATGCGCCACCTCCCATATAGTTCTTTAAAAAGTCCCCTATGGATATAAGAGAGAAGGAGAGTTGCCAAATGTCATCTTCCTCATTCCACTGGTGCGAGCAAACAGCCTTCCATTAGCAAAGTGAACCTTAAAGTATATCAAAAAGATTTCTGCCCTGTGGTTACAGTAATAGAACTGCAGCAATTGCTAACTAGAAATTAAGGAAGTTGTTCTTAACCTATGGTTTATTACACAGAACCCTACTGATGTTCATGTAAAGTTAGCACAACTTACCATGGCTAATTGCAACACATTGACAAAGTGTTGGGGTGTGTCTTGGTTGCATGCATGCTCATGTGCCCAGGTGCACAACCTAAGACATCTTTTGGCACCGCATCAGTTAGCTGCAATTAGTCATGACAAGTTAGAACATCAATAGGATTATTACAATCATTATTGTAATTGTTATTACATAAACTTACATTATTATGTAATTTCGGTATGTGCTGCAAAACTGTACATACTGTGTTTCTTGTCCATATGAGGAAATAATCAGTGTATGGTCAATAATGGGGAAAGGGGTCATTTTCTTGTATAGTGGAGCTGGAAGAACTTCTGTAAAAGAAGTTTACCAAAAATGTGTAAAGAAGTTTTTCACAAAAGTGAAAATAACTTGAGAGGTAGAGCTTTCTTTCACTTATTCTTCCTAAAACACTAAACTACTGAGAACTATTTACAGGCCTTTGAAGACATATACATTGAACAGAGAAAAACTATCAAGACCATGCTGGAATATGCTGACAAGGTCTTTACATACATCTTCATTCTTGAGATGCTGTTGAAGTGGGTGGCATATGGATATCAAACATACTTCACTAATGCCTGGTGTTGGCTGGATTTCCTGATTGTTGATGTACGTATCATATAGGCTAAGTATGATTTACAAAATCCTGCTGTGTTAGATGCTTCTGTTCTGGCTACCTATCAGCCATGCTCTCCTCTAGGGTCTTCCTTTGTATTACTGCCCTTTTCTGTTATTGGTCGTTGGTTTTTAAAATTCTCTTTCCATGTTCTTTGTCAACTGAGGGTGTTCACTAGTTTTTTCTGTGAATCTTCAATAGGTTTGGGGTGGGTGGGTTTCTACCTTCATCTGTTTTGTACTTGGACAAATCTTGGGATTTCCCCTTAGATCATCAATACCACTGTCCTGTGTGTGGACACTGACTACACAAGGATCCACACATAAAAAGTTCACTATTAGTATATGAGATCACTGTTATTCTGATATTGTCACTACAGATTTATCTCTGAAAACCACTTTTTATTGTTCATTTTGAAACACACTCTGTACAATCATCCCATTTTGTAAAACCTTATAGGAGTACAATATCTTGCACTCACCGGAGAGAAAAATAAAATCCACTTTATGGACAAGTCCTCATAGACATTATGTGGATAGTTACTTTCCTCATATTGTTTCTACCTTAGAGGACTCAAAATATGGTACAAAATATGCAAAAAAACCCCCTACTTTGGAAAAAAAGCCTTTCTTAAGTAAGATGTTGTGAAAAAACCTTATAATATATGATTTATTATTACTATGCTAGCAAGACTCCCAATAGAGTTCTAGTTATTCAGATTACATAGCAACACATTGCTGAGAAGCACCATCTGCTCTCATGAATAAAAATCAATGGCCAGTTTCCCCTTACAGACTCCAACTGCACAGCAGGAATGACATCACCAACAGGAGCAGATTTCTGCTCATTAAAGAGTTCCTTTTTCAATTCCAGGCTGTGCGTAACTTCATATCACTCATTGTACATGTATCACATGGCTTCCCAAAATTGAAAAAGAAACTCTTTAAGTAGCAACCAGCTGCTGGTGTCAGTGAGATCCTTTGCTACATTGGTAGAACTCTGCAAGAGGAGACTGGCCACAGCATTTTGAATGTCCTCTTACATTTGTAGGAAATTCTTTTTGCATACTTGCTGGAATTTGAGTTCCAAGTTCCAAGGGTACATTAAAAACATTCAAATTGAATAGCTAGATAACTGTATATGTATGATTTTTGAAAAAAGCATCCTAAATCTCAAATGACTATTCTCTCTAATCTTGACTGGTATTACCTATTTAACCAATATGTCAGATTTTTAAAAGAGAGTACTGTATTTTTGTACAATGTTGTTATGTTTGACCCCGCCTTATATTTTAATCTCTTACCTCTGCCCACTTCCATACTTGATTAAACTAGCCTTTAAATGGGTACTGATACAGCACCCTCCATGTCATCTGAGAAGAGCAGGTGAGCTATGGGAATGCACAGTAGGCCATATATATATATAGCGCTGGCCTCCAATACCTCACTGCTACCTGCCTCTCTAAGGCAGTTGCCTCACTTCTTCCAACGGTCGTCGTTTAATCATTCAGTCGTGTCCGACTCTTCGTGACCCCGTGGACCAGAGCACACCAGGCCCTCCTATCTTCCACTGCCTCCCAGAGTTGTGTCAAATTCATATTGGTTGCTTCAATGACACTATCCAACCATCTCATCCTCTGTCGTCCCCTTCTCCTCTTGCCGTCACACTTTCCTAACATCAGGGTCTTTTCCAAAGATTCTTCTCTTCTCGTGAGATGGCCAAAGTATTGGAGCCTCAGCTTCAGGATCTGTCCTTCCAGTGCGCACTCAGGGTTGATTTCCTTCAAAATGGATAGGTTTGTTCTTCTTGCAGTCCAGGGGACTCTCAAGAGCCTCCTCCAGCACCACCACAGTTCAACGGTAGGGCTGGCAATTAACTTTTAATTTGAACCCCAGGTCGTGAGCACAGTTCAACAGTAGGGCTGGCAATTAACTTTTTAAAAAAACTGATCTGGAGGATTTTGATTGAACACGCCAAGAGAGATTCAGCTGTCCTAGGTTACTATGCACATGCCTAGAGTGAATGGTGGAAGAGATTTTGGCCACTTTGATGCACTCATACTTCTTTCATGTGCACAGAACCGAGGTGTGAAGCAGCTTAATTTAGGGTAGGAGGTAGAACCTGATGGTCTCTAGATGACCTCTGGCTCTGCACTTTCTCCAGACAACATGTTCCTGAACGCATGCAGACTTCCTAGAACACTGCACAGATCATGTGATGCAAATGGATTTCCCCCCTTTTTTTCTTTTTCTTTTTCAGGTATCATTGGTTAGTTTAACAGCAAATGCTTTGGGTTATTCAGAACTTGGTGCCATAAAGTCCCTTCGGACACTGAGAGCTCTCAGGCCTCTAAGAGCCTTGTCAAGATTTGAAGGGATGAGGGTAAGATGAAATGAGAGAAAAGTTAATCATGATCAAAATGCATGCTAAAATAGAAAGAATGTTCCATGCATGTCACATAAGGAATGGTATATTCATGCAGAAATGCTGCCCTTTCATTTTATTGCATATTTATCAGTAATAAATAAGCAAAAATCTTCATTAGCTCTCCTTAATTGTTCAGTATCACATAATAGCTGTATGCATTTATATTACTTTACTTTCTAGCCAATTTGAGGAGTTTATCATAAATGTATTTAAGCAGATTTGCTAAAAGGTGAGTAAATTTTATGTTCCTCATAAACAAATTAAATACTTTACTTCACAAACCTACCACACAGGTGATTAAAAGAATGTGTGGCTATAATAAATCCAGCTTTATGTGTTCATTTTATTTAATGGGAAGGAAAGTGTGCCCCCATCCAAAATGATGACACAAAGGCTTCAGTTTAAGATATGATAAAGCAAACCAGATTATATTATTATCAGGACTCCAGACAGGGGTATGTTTCCTTTTTGATGCTGAACTGCTTAAACATACTGGCTTACAAGGACAGTTAGTAATAACTTTTTAGATAGTTACAGTAATTAAATTTTAATTTTAGTATGGTTTTGTTAATTGGACAAAATCTGTTTAAATATCTAACGGGACCATTTGATTGATAACCCCTCCCCACCCCCAAAATAAGCAATAATTTGCAACAGAGGTAACATAATTCCATCCAGTCCTCAGTATTATCGACACAAATCATGCAATGTTTTATGTTTGCTTTCAGGGATAAAACATAATCCTATTTAAACTTTATCTCAGAAAGATTCTTTACACTATATCCCCATTTTCTACTCTTCCTTAAAGTTATTGGGTGAGTTTGTGACGATATCAAAATCATCAACCGAACTCCAAAGACCGCACATTAATTTACCCTCTGTATACAACCTGGTCCAAACTGCATGTTGTTCAAACCTGTTATATTTAAAGAATGACTTTTGCCACTTCATGGAAACATAAGAGGAAGCAACTTTTGGATAATGATAAAAGAAAGCCTATCTAGTGAGTTGGACAGCTGATAAACAGACTGTCAAAATGATGTTTAGCTGTAAGTCACAACAGTGCCATGAAATGAAATTCAAATAATTGGAGCTCAGTTCCTCAACTTGTATCCATCAGGTTGCATATCTTTTCTTCAAAAATTCTAAGAAGAAATATTGTAAATGGAAACTGACTCGATACATGAATTTCAGGTGCATCTAACCACCCCTTAATTTCAACAAAACCCTTTAAACAAGAAATTCATGAATTGAGAAGTCAGCAGTGGAATAGGGTAAGAGCTGGTCAATTCCTGTAGTGTTCACGAACATTCATTCAGTTTTCAACTGACTGTTTGGTTTATCCATGTTCATATTTCTTTTTATTTACTATTCATGAACATTCTTGCAAATATGTTTTTGTTGGCACGAATGTTTCAAGAACTGTTGTCCTTTGTACTCCTTCCTAAATAATTTTCAAGAATGACACTGATGCTAAATGTTCAAGTAATATGAGTACCAAGAATGTGGCAATTTGAAATTTTCTTTCAGTACACATCTGGTTCAGATGCGAAAGATACATAGTTTCATTTGTCCATTCACAAACTATTTCCATTGTAATTTTTCTAGTTAATGCTATTTAGAAGGAATCAAGGAGCCATCTGTACACAATGGTATCAGTTATTCACCATTTCTTACGCATTTCCCCACACATGAAAGTTTTCTGTCATTGAGCCGAAAAGTAAGAGAAGCAACACCTTACTCTGGTCATCTCTTAACACAAAGTCAATAACAGACAAACTAACCTACCGTTGACGCAGTGCGCAAAACAAAAACGCCAAAATTTAGAAAGAATATACATTCACAGAAATAAGTGTCTGCTAATGAATGATTCGTGAACAGGAAAATAATTCATATTAAACATGGAAAAACACAACTGACCAGCTCTCAGCAAAGTCACTGATGTCTGAATCACACTCTTTTGAGATAGTTTTCATTTCAGCAGCTTCGTTCTGACAAAAGAAATAACTGTGAGTTTGGGGTGAGTGGCAGAGATTATTGCTGATCAGTCATAGCAACCTGCTTTCTTTAAGAGAGGGCAGTGTTTCAGTGACACATGCATCACAGAAGTAGGGTTCGACAATTACAGTATACCCACTAGGATGCCACTGAAAGTTTGGCTTTCTCACAGAGGACATTTTGCTCTGTGATCACATCTTTATATATTAGGCGTGAGTGATCTTTCACAAGGGTACTCTGTAGCCAGGGAGAAAAACAAAACAGAAGCAGTCTCCTCAATAGGCCTTATAGGACCTTCATGATCAGCTTCTGCCACAATATCATTTGTTCCTCTCAGGCAGTGAACAATGCCTAGTTTTGAACTGGGCCTTTGTGATTTCCAATTCTGTGGTAACTCAAGAGCCAAATAGAGCTGAAGGTCAGTTCATTTTTGTCCTTACATACTGTAAGACATTTGCAGCTCTGTGACTTCGCAGTTTAGTACATTAAACTGAAGATACTTTTTTAGAAAGTAGACTAGATGGTACTGCCAAGGTGCGGAGAACCTTCGTAAACATGACTACTATTATATTTATTGAAAGCATTTAGGTCAGGCTCTGGGTTGACAATATGAAGTACTCTTCAACCCTAACTGAAACTTTGGTTGAGTGTCAACAGCTTGTGCTACCAAAAAAAAAAAAGTTTGGTTTTGTTCAATTAATTGAAAGAAGGTGTGATCCAAATTTTAAATAATCTTTTCAGTCTTTTTCCATGTTTTTAAAACTTTGCATACTTATCTTTAAATGTGGAGCTTTAAATTAACATCATATGATTTCTCCATTCAAAAACCAGTAAACTTATTCCTACACAGAAGACAAACCTGAGACCTAAGGACAATGTAAGTCTCTGAGTTATAACTCAAATGTTTCAACAGTCATAGTATAATCCCGTATGGATAAGAGGTAATTTCAGCAAGGTGGAACATTTGGGGAATTCAAGTCTTGTGTTTTTCTGAGTACTGTTTTAATATATTTAAAATAAATTTCAACAATTATAACTCCACATAGGTGCTGGAAGGCAAAGTAAATATCTGCTTTCATTTGAATTAAATCTGCTGTAGATTGAGAGCTATATTCTGATCTCAGTGCATGTTGATACATTCTTGTAACTACTTGCAAAATGAGATCTGAATATACCTATTGCTTTATACTTATCATTTAAAATATGTCCTGTAATATAATGCTCTTGCAGTAGTTCCAAATATGTATATTACAAATGTAGAAAACTCAAATCCATTGCTTTGCTAAATTTAGAAGATTGATTTCTTAGCAAGAAAGCATGTGTTCATGTGTAAGCTCACTAGAAGAGAGCATGTTATGCTGTGCTTGATATATTTCTCTTAGAGCAGTAGAACAGAAAAGGAGCGTTTTTAAAAATTAATCCACCATGCAGTTTTAGTTTTGCATGTTTTATGCACATTTCTGGCTGATTGCTTTAAAGTTTTATATTTCAAATTTCCAGTCCAGTTTGTGAGACAGAATTTTTTTAAAGGACAAAAAAATGTTTATATCCTGCCTAATATTCAGATACATTTTATTGATGCAATCAATAATAATTGATATTGCAGTCAACAACATCAGAAACTTATTGTTAACATTAACTGGTCTTATTAAAGATCCCTGTTTAGCTAATTTATTTCTTATGAACAGCACTGACCACTGACTCTTCCCTTCAGTTGTTATTTTTCACAGCTTGACTGTTTCATGCTGATTTCATCCATTAATTTTTTTCAATATATCATTGCCATAATGAGGAAAAAGAGAAGAAATATGCTTTGAATGTGATTTGTAGTGGGCGCATAAAGTGTACTTTTATATAGTGAAGGCATCATCCACTTACGAAGGGGCTGTTTCATTTGAGCTATGCAAGAAAGATGAAACTAAGGCTGCAATCATCCTACACCGGGCTAGGCAAAGGCAACGTTTGGCCCCTACAGGTTTCTTTTTACATTGTCCTTTTAAAGGCATCTTAGACCCCCACAGACCAACTCCAAGATCAATTGCCAGGAAAAAAAACCCTCAAAGTTAATTTCCTGCTCCTAAAAGCATTCCAAAACAACAGTTTTGCATATGCCTCAGCCTGCAAAAAACTAACCATCTTAAACAAAAACTCCAGAAATGGAAATCTGTCCACTTCCTCTTTAGATCAGCTACCTTTGCATCATTAGAATTTGCCCTTTCAGTCTTATACAGAGCTACAGTATTTTGGGAATAGTTCCATGGAAGGTGCTTTACCTTATGTAGATATATGCAGAATTATTCATGTTTACTGTCAAGCAAGTGGTGTTCAGTGTGGTCTATAGAACACACTCCCAACTAAGTGTGCATGCCAGACCAAATCCAATTATATTCTTCTGTTTATACAACTCCTTTTTCCAATCATGTTGAGCCATAGTTCACGGGTAGTACACGTTTCATGTAGAAGTGTAGAATGTCCAGTTTCAATCCATGATATGTCCAGGTGGGCTTGGAAAAACTCTTGCATGAAACCTCAGGCTTTCTCAAAGTCTGCTGATTCTCCCCCGTCCCCCATTCCTCCCCTTGCATTATCTATAGATGGAGCAGTTTGGCTAAATAACAAAATGACACTTAGAGGGATTCTGTGTTAGTATTTAGATTTTATTCAGCCACCTGACAGGCAAAGAAATGGATTGCATGGTAGTCACATGAATCTGCTGCTGCAATACCCAAGGTTTAGAATTATTGAAAGTAAGCCCTTCTCTTAGAAGGCAGAGCCTGCCTCTGAGATCATCCTATCCCACCATCTTTGGCCATCTAGGACTATTGCCAGCTGCATGACTTAAGCACTTTAAAATAAAGTAGTTGGAACACAACAGAGAGATCTCGGTTTACTGACAGTTCCCAAAGGAACAGGGGAGAAGGACCTTATGAGTCAAACGTTTTGTGGAAGAGAAAATACTGCTGCAGTTATTAATCTGAAGCCAAAATGATGAGCAATGGCTATTTAATCTAATCTACGGACAGAAGAGTTACCTTAGAAGCTGTAGTAGCTCTAAGGGGTGTAATCAGCCACAACATATATTTAAATGGACAAGTCTATTTAGAAGTCACAAATTCAAGAGTAAAACGGCACAGGGAATAGTGGGGCAAACAATCAAGAACGTGCTTCCATGTTTTTCCTAGAATTGACCTGTTTATTTTTTAATTGTGTCTCCAGTATCTATACATTGTTAAATTGTCCCATGTTATTTCACATAACATCTCACCTTCATGTCTATGTTGAAAGAAAAGATGTATGCTGTCCAAACCGGTGGATATAGATACTTTGTACTAAAACCAGTCCCTGAACTGAAGTTATCCCAGCCTTTCAAACAGGGAGGTTATGACAATACTAAAACTTAAAGGCATTAAAGTCAATGTCCACAGTTCGATTACATCACCATCCCTGATGCAGTGATGTTGTGTTTCCATTTTTTTTCTAATGGTAATAACTTACTGTTTGTACAATGGCAGTCCTCATATAAACGTACTATCATGTTGTGATGGCTTATGGCTTCTGCTAACACTTCTACTCAGCTATCAGACCTATTGGGGTATTTGATTTGCTGTTGGACCTGTTTCAAAATCACCACAGCTAGGTTCATCCCTAAGATGTAGTTGAAAATGGGCAGTGGTTCTTCCCCTCAAACAAATCTGATCTAGTGGTAAGTGAACCATAAGAAAGATACAGGACTTCACTGAAAGGAAAAATGGAAGCAATCTTGGAAGTAGGGGACAGGGCAGAAATCCAGGGATAAGTCACAATGCGAGTAGACCCATTGAATCAGTGAGGATTTGTTGAGTCAATTTCTCTGTAAGTTTCATTGATTCAATGAGCCTACTCTTGGTGTGACTTACTACTGGACTTAAACCTTTCTTTTAAGAAGGAATTGGAAGGGTCCTGTTCCTTGAGCCCTGCAGTACTAATGCTATTAACTATAAAAGCTGTATCTTAACCCATCTGGAAAGCAGCTGGTTGAGGAAGGATCCCTAGGCCTCTCCCTTGCCAACCAACAGCATCAAACTACAATGCTGATATTATTCACAGTAAAAAGACTGATTTTCATCCCTCCCCAATAGTGTACAGTATTTTAAAGTTATGAGGCATTATATAACCCCCAGATTTCAGGTATAACACAGAGACGGGCAAAGTAATCCCTTGGAATGTTTTTGGGCACCCAAGCTCCATCACACTCTTGGGCGCTGAGGGCGGGGGGGAGAGAGTATTTTCCACCAAGAAAAAGGGAATTGCTATTCCTAGAACCTTCTTAACACAGAAACGTACCCTTTTTATAGGTTGCAGGTCCCACTCCCATAGTGTTGAACTGAATAACTCATTTAGAAAGAAAAGGGCAAGTTGTGTGGTGTACATAGTTTATTCTTCAGTGTTTCAACCCAAAGGGAGTAAGCACTGTTTGTCACTTGTTGATTGGCAGGTGCAGCTTTTGGTTCTTGTCCTCAAAGAAATGCTTCAGGCCCTTGCTTTCCAACGCAGCTGTCTCTCTGCCCAATTTGTTGCATTTTGTTACTGCAATTGAATGGTGAAAAAAATATTTCACCTAATCAAGAAACCATGGCTGGGAAATTTCCCTAGAATACATTGAAATTCATAGAATTATTAACCATAACCCAATTCAAAATTGTACATGTAGTTTCAGTGATATGCATGAAGCTCCTTGTGTGTTCAGGTTTGCCCTTCAGTCCAACAATACACGCAGTTTGACTGCACACAAAAAGCACTTTTTAAGAAACATGACAATATCACCAACTGGGGGGAAAGTTGTGGGGGTCAGGACACACTTTTCTGTTCTTTTCCCTGCAAATCCACTAATAGTTGGAATGTAGCTTTTGGGAAAAGGCAAAATATAAGTGTGGATAATCAGTTCATGTTATGTTGATTCAGAGCTGTGCTACATATCTGTGTAGAAAAAAGGAGAGTCTTGTATTAAACATGCACCCCTTCCCTCATTCCAATATTGTTACAATTCTGGGTAAGGCAGAAACCCTGGATTGGAGTCATTCAGAGAAGTCATCGTATTAATAACTGAAAAGCCTTTGATTAGAGATGGTAATATTCATATTTGTAAACAAATATGCATATCCCCATCCCAGGTGCCCCTAATGTGGGTCCAGCCTTTGGAGCCATCTGTCCACTCATGCATCACCGTGCTGCTAGCCTCCTGCTCTTCTCGCCAATCGTGGAAATAACTTCGCTGTTTTCCTTCTCTTCTGGCCACTCAGGAGACTTGTCCCCCCATCCCCTGCCTGGAGTGGTCAGCTGAGCCAGGAGACAACAGAGCTACTTCCATGATTGCCAAGAAGAGCAGGTGACTGGCGGCACAATGGCACATGAGTGGATGGGCCGGCTCTGATGGCGATATTCGTCTTCGTTTACGAACACCAGTATTGCCATCTCTACCTTTGATCCAGCCAGCTCTCTCTGTAATAAAAGGAAAGAAGATGAATTCCACTGAGTTTTCCTTGATACTGTAGTTCCCCTACAACACACAGGCACGCATACACATACAATGCATGCACACAAATATTTTCAGCAGTTTATGGGAGAAGAGGCAAGCCTTAAAAACCGCACACACTTCCTATTACCAGGTAGCAAGGGCACAGTTTTCATAAGCAGAACTTTGCTATGGAATCTTAGGATCCATTCTCTTACATTTCTTGATAGGACTTGTTCCTAGCCATGTTTTATGTGGTAAGCAAATAAAGGTATAGTGATGAGGGGATTAGGATAATATATTACTTTATTCTGTGTTTACATGTTTTGGATCCCTTAAACACTTCCCTATACTAATTTATGAATTTTTCATCCATTTATTTTTTAACAAAATGTTTAATTGAAAAAAATGATTCATTTACTTAATAAAGACTGGAGCTTGAAATAAACAATGTGACTAAATAAGCACATCTTGCAATACTGTCTGGCTTTCTTATGCAAAGAAATTAATCTGTGATAATAATGCATGATTACTTGTACATTTTAAGATAAGCTTTTTACTTGATTTTCTTAACTTTCTTGACATTAGTGTTTTTTAATTTTACAGAAACTCTACAATCACTTCAGTTTATAAGGAGTAATTTATTTCTGTTTTTATTTTCTGTAAAATATTTTAACACATATTTCCTTTTTTACAGAGATCAACAACCTTCATATCAGTTTTTTTATTTTTATTTTATTTAAATATTTTAGTTTTTTCATCTTTGTTGTCTTGTTGAATATGTGAAAGTGTGCCATTTAAAATAAACACTGACTCTGTTGCAATCAAAATTGTGGTTACCTGTTTTAGAATTTGCTTTAGTAAAAAATAGAATAATTATGTATTGGTTCAACAGAGCAATTGCACTAGTGCTATACAAATTCTTACACTGTTTTCTTCCCTCCGCCCCCCTCCCTGCTGTATTTGTGTACTAGGTGGTTGTGAATGCCCTACTGGGAGCAATTCCATCCATTATGAATGTGCTTCTCGTTTGTCTTATATTCTGGCTAATTTTCAGCATCATGGGAGTAAATCTGTTTGCTGGAAAATTCTACCACTGTATTAACACCACTACTGGTGACATGTTTCCTATTGACATAGTTAACAATAAGTCTCAATGTGAAGAACTCATTGAAGCGAATCAAACAGCCAGATGGAAAAATGTGAAAGTTAACTTTGATAACGTAGGATTTGGGTATCTTTCTTTACTGCAAGTGGTAAGTGAATACTCTTTAAGCCTTCTTTCTTTGTTTAAAAAAATATTAAAAAGTTGATGGCATGTTTTTTTTCCTTGTCATGTAGTCCAATTTGATGCATATTTGCTAGAAACTGATGCATACTTCCTAGAAGCCCCAATACTTTCCCAGTTGAATGTGCATAGGACTACAGTCTTAGACACATGTCTGAATTATACCAGTGCACACACAGTGTTTGCTTACCTTTTCAGCTTGTAACAGGCTAGGAATTTGTGTTTTCCCCTCTTTTCTTTATCTCTTATTTACAGTTTGAATAGAGTGAGGATCATAACATGGATTGTGCAGTTAAACGTGGCAGCAGTACTGATAATACTGAGACGGACTACTAGGGTCTTTTGACATAGCAACTGAGTGGAAGCAACTGTTTGGGGGACCACAGATAGCTGAGCTCAATTAGCATCCTTCTGAACATTCTGCAGGTTTCCCCCACCCCGGTACAATCATATAGACGTCTACATCTGTCATCCTCTAATAAATCTCACAACTGGGAAATCATAAGATTGTAGGCTTCACTCAAATAATCCATTAGTTTGGGACTTTCTCAGAATATACTGCATTTTCTAGTTTTGTTTTATGTTTTGCCTCCTCTAAGCTGGGCAATAACTTAGCATATCTAATCTGCCTTCAGCAAATTGCCACCCCAACAAAATTTCTTATCTGAGGAGATGGCTGCATTGACAAATAATACAGCAATTCTTCCTGGATTGGGATGATCTGATTTACATGCAGATTTTATTATTTTATCGATTACAGTTGTGCCTTGACTTACGAACTTAATCCGTAACGGAATGGTGTTCATAAGTCAAAACATTCATAAGTCAAATCAGCATTTCCCATAGGAATGCACTGAAACCCGATTAACCCGTCCCAGCTGTTTTTTGTTCTTATGTCAAGGCACGGTTGGTAAATCAGAGCATTCATTCCCATAAGAACTAATGCAAAGCCTGTTAATCCGTCCTCTTCCACTTTGTTGTTTAGTCGTTAAGTCATGTCCAACTCTTCGTGACCCCATGGACCAGAGCACACCAGGCCCTCCTGTCTTCCACTGCCTCCCAGAAACAAAAGGCCTCTACCACTAGGGGGAGAATTTTTCTTCTTTTAACCTAAGATGAACTTAGGTTTAAAAAAGGACAGGGAGGGAGGGAACAATGGGAGAAAAAGAAAGAAAGAAAGAAAGAAAGAAAGAAAGAAAGAAAGAAAGAAAGAAAGAAAAAGAAGGTCATCACTGGGGCACACAGATCCCTCAGACAAAGATTTGTGCTTTTAAGCACAAAAAGAGAGAAGACAGAGAGAGAGAGAGAGAAGACAATGGGGGGGGGGAGACAGTTTGGAGTCTAAAAGACATTTTAAACCCACACATTTTACAACAACACATTTTAAACCAAGCCAAACACCTTTTAAACAAAACACCTTTTAAGCCCACCCACCAACACCTTTTAAAACAAAAGAGAGGTCACGCCACAGTACACAAACCCTAGGAGCCGCAGAATCCAGCAACCATTATTCCAGCAAACAGACCCCCTCACCACAAAAAGAGAGCAGAGAGAGAGAAAAGACGATGGGGACGGGAGACTTGCGTCTAAACTGCATTTTAGAGCAAACCAGCCAGCACAGCCCCTCACAGAATATTTTCTGATTTTAAGAAAAAAAGACTGTGGAGACTAAACTGCATTTTAGAGCCTGCCTGCACCAACAACCAGCAACCATTATTCCAGCAAACAGACCCCCTCAGCACAAAGAGAGAGAGAGAGGCCTGGTTGCCAGATGGTGTGGGGTATAAAACAAAACAAACAAACAAGACAATGGGGACAGGAGACTTGAGTCTAAACTCCATTTTAGAGCAAACCGGCCAGCACAGACCCTTGCAGAAAGGGGCTGCAAAACCCATCAGAGCAAAAAGCAAGGGAGGCATGTAGGAACCATTGCAAATGTACAGAAAACAAACACAGATCAGAAATGCACAAAGCAAAAAAGCAATGGAGGCATGCTGGTGATTCCTTGTCCCCCTCCACACACACACAATCACTAGGTATCCTAGCGTTAGGACAGCAAGCTTTTAAAAGAAAAAGAAGAAATGAAATGGAATGGAAGGAAAGGAAATCAGGGGGAGGGAGAGATGAGCAAGCATACCCAGGCACCACATTTGGTGGGGAGAGGATTCAAATGGCAGCTGTTTTCCCCACGGCCCTGCCTCTCTTACCACTACTGTAGCCGGGTGCATTGACATCAAACAGGACAGGGACAAGCCCCTCCGCCTCAATTCAAGTGATCCCACCATCTGAACTGATTCAAATGCATTTGATTCCCAAAACGCAGAAGTTCAGCAACAGAGGAGAAAAGGTGGATTTGGAACTGGGGGTGATGATTTGCACTGACCTGTACATCATGTAGCCAGCAGAAAATAATGCAAATCAGATTGACTCAATCCGGAAACCTTTCCCACATTATTTGTCAATGTGGCTGCCCCCTCAAACTGATGCACTTAGTTCCCGTTGAAATCAATGAGATTTACTTAATATGTGTTTTATCCATTTATTTTAATGGGACTTGTACACCTACTTGGAGTAAGGCTCGCTGAATGCACTGTGACTTCTTTCTAAGCATCTATTGGAAGGCATTTTATATCTGGATCTAATGCATGTAAAAGAAAGATTTTAGTCTGAGCACCTTCTCTTTTATTCTATGATATTTATAAAATATTTCTATGACATTGAGTAAAACAACTATGATAGAAAACAGTGAATATCATCATGTGTTCAGAATTTTATATGTTAAATATTTTCTGGATACAGGCTACATTTAAAGGATGGATGGATATTATGTATGCAGCGGTTGATTCAAGAAATGTAAGTACAGTAGTTTTGCTTTCTCTGCTATGCAATTCAGTAGAATTTTGTTTATGAAATGTACTTTACACTAATAAGAACTCAAAAACCACCTCTATTCAAATTAAATGATATCTTTAATGATTTGTTAACTGGAGGAATTTAAAACCAGTAGAAAATTTAAACAATTAAGGAGATAGGCCTGCCTAAATGCAACGTAACACTGCCAAAACTGTGCCCTACCTGGTTTTTCCATTGGCACATGCAGCATTGTGTGAAGGATGGAGGTTCCCAATAGTGCTACCACGGTATAGCATTCTGCTTCTGAACTGGTTGCTCAGCCAGCTGCCCAGATAGAAATAACATTGTACCAGCTCATAGTTCAGAACACAGCAGCTGAGAGCTCAACATCAGAATTCTAGTTCTAATCTCCCGCAAAGACATATTTTAAGCCAATGTGCTGCCCTGCAAGTTTTAAAAATGTGTGGCAGATTTTTTAAAATAATTATATTTGCCTTGTAGGTACTGCAACAGCCAGTCTATGAAGACAACCTTTTTATGTATCTTTACTTTGTTATCTTCATAATCTTTGGGTCATTCTTCACCCTAAATCTGTTTATTGGTGTCATCATTGATAACTTCAATCAGCAAAAGAAGAAGATAAGTATTTTATATGTATCTTTTTAAGAAAAAAAAAGGGCACATGAAAGATGTGACCAATGTATTTCTAAATGTATGACAAAACAGTGGACAGGAAACTGTCCACCATTGAATGGAAAAAAGGGCATTATGATTTGCCACAAGCTGTTGGGGTCTCTCTTCTCTTTTACTTTTCTCTATAAACACTGTGTGTGATCCTCTCCAGCCCCAAATTGTTGTGGCATCTGAGGCGCTAAATCAGGGTGGGTAATGTCCAGAGGTCTGAGAGTCACAGCCATGCACTCCTGGACTTTAGAAAGCCCTGACTGGCCACACTACCCACTTACCCCAAAAATACTGTTGTCATACTGGATTTTTTTAAACTGAAAATATTCCATCACACCCTCTAAGGACCTCCCCCACCCCACTCCCCAAAATGTCAACATTGCCTTCCACTACCCCGAAGGAATTTTCTGAATAATTTTTAAAGGAAAACATGGAGGAGATGCAAGCATCTTGTGGGGCACACTTTGCCCATCCCTGCTGCAAGTGAAAGCCTTCGTTCTTACTGAATCCAGCTTATTAGTGAAATTACACTTTTATTCTACTACTCATTAATGATTACGATTATTTTGGATGTGGCACTTTGGGCAATCCAGATAGTTGCCAAATCTGTAGCAGTGAAGATTGTGAAAACAGCGTTAGTCTGGCTGTTAATATGGGGAAAATGAAACTGTGTTTAAAGGCATGAGAAACGGATTGTAACCAGTTTTCGTATCATGCCCTTACTTTGGAGGTCAAGACATCTTTATGACAGAGGAACAGAAAAAGTACTACAATGCGATGAAAAAGTTGGGGTCTAAAAAGCCTCAAAAGCCTATACCCAGACCAGGGGTAAGTAAATCTTTTCAGTGTATTCCACACATAATTGGAATGTTATATTTTAAAAAGAACTTCATTGCATTACTCGTTATGTCTTAGCAGCTAGGTTGCCTGTATTGCTGTCCTTCCTTCAGTCAACACATCGTTAGTTGTGTTGCACACTATAAGCACATTACATTGTCTTACCAAGAGGGTAAGACTGGAAAATACTCTGATTTCCTGTCGTGACCAATCTTGAGACAGTATTGCACCTCGGAAATATTTATAGAAATGCAATGGACAGACCCAAATAATATTTCTCTTACTATTTAGGGTAGAACCTATCAAAATGCATCCAAAAATCTCTTAAAATGTGCTTTAAAGGTAACCTTTGAAAAGTAACTTTTGAAAGCATCCAAGTGTTGCTTATACATCTGAGTAACTTGGGCGCTACTTATATCTGAAAAGCAACTTTGCAACTACTAGATGCATCACTATTTATATATAAAAAAGTAAACGTGCCATAAGTTACTTCTAAGTAGTTACTTCCAATCTTTATTCTAATTTGTTGTAGACTGAAATTTTCATTTTAAAAAGAATAAATGAATGAGACGGTAGGGGCAAATGGATTGCTGCTATCAGTGAACTGTCAATAGCCATCAGTGCTTGACTACATTTTTATTTCTTCCCCTCGGGACCATTCGCCACCTGACATGCTCAGTTTGTATTCAAATACCACACATGTGCCTTCACGGGATACCATCTCCCTTTCCCTTTCTCTTTATTGTCTTTTATTTTTATTTCAGAACAAATATCAAGGCGTGGTCTTTGATTTTGTGACGAGACAAGTGTTTGACATCAGTATTATGATTCTTATCTGCCTTAATATGATCACCATGATGGTAGAAACAGATGATCAAAGTAAACAAATGGAGGACGTTCTATACCGCATCAATCTGATATTCATCGTCCTTTTTACTGGAGAATGTGTCCTCAAACTCATTTCCCTGCGCTATTATTACTTCACCATTGGATGGAATATTTTTGATTTTGTAGTCGTCATCCTTTCTATTGTAGGTAAGACCAATTTCAAATACAAGGAAACAAATATCAACATTATTTATTATTTATGTTTAATTTAATACACTGTATTTTCTTTGTTTCCAGATGATACACTTGTTCAGCAATATTTATTTTCTTACAATATGTAACCTACATATAATTCTTGTGTCACACACATTTTGGCTACTTAAGTGTATTTACCATAATTTGCTTAATATTTGTTGCATATATGGTACGCTGTGTAGATAGTTATCCATCTATCAAGTCAACTGATCGCATATATACATCTCTCTATAAGACACATATAATAGAGGTTTTTATGAAAATTGTGTTTATTGCATGTGCTCATATAGGTTATACGTATGTGTGTTCCATCTGACAAAGGGCATTCTAAATAAGTTGCAGTCTCAACTTGCTACATCTCAATAAGGAAGATTTTTCTTCACCTACCTTTATTTAATAGTTATTATATTTAATGTTTAACCATTATTTAACAACTAGTAGAAATACCCAGCACTACAAGAGTTAAAAAGCTTTAGTTCCTATCTCCTTAGTTTTTTCTCTTTTCCTTCCTTCTACTTTTTTCCTTTTCTGTATTTGTACTTTTTTCCCTATTTCACAATGTTCAGACTTTTTCTGCCCTCCCCTCTAACATGTACTAGATGGCAAGAGTTTCTCCCTCTCCAACCTTCCCCCTCTTCTAAAGGCATGAAGATTTTAAGGACTTGCAATGGAGAAAAATGGCAGTTTCTAGCCCAATACTATTTCCTCTTTTCTCAGTTAAAAAATATATAACATTTCAGGGCTCAAAGATCATGATGCATGGAACTTTCTTCCAGGGTTGCACATAGGATTATAGCTTCAGTCTTTCAGAACTCATTGAAGTGAGCAGGTAAGTGAAGATGAGATACTAACAATTGTAAACAAGTAGCTCTGATGCTATTTTATGTTATTTTTAACAGGTATGTTCCTAGCAGAGATCATTGAGAAATACTTTGTGTCACCCACCTTGTTCCGAGTGATCCGTCTTGCCAGGATCGGCCGGATCCTGCGTCTGATCAAGGGTGCTAAAGGGATCCGCACCCTGCTTTTTGCCTTGATGATGTCCCTTCCTGCCTTGTTCAACATTGGACTCCTCCTTTTCCTGGTCATGTTCATCTACGCTATCTTCGGAATGTCCAATTTTGCCTACGTGAAGAGAGAAGTTGGGATAGATGACATGTTCAACTTTGAAACTTTTGGCAACAGCATGATCTGCCTCTTTCAAATCACCACCTCTGCAGGCTGGGATGGCTTGCTCGCCCCCATTCTCAACAGTGGACCCCCAGACTGTGATCCTAAAAAGGACCACCCAGGAAGTTCGGTCAAGGGAGACTGTGGCAATCCTTCCGTTGGGATTTTTTTCTTTGTCAGCTACATCATCATATCATTTTTAGTGGTAGTAAATATGTATATTGCTGTCATTTTGGAGAACTTTGGTGTGGCAACCGAAGAAAGTGCAGAGCCTTTGAGTGAGGATGACTTTGAGATGTTTTATGAGGTTTGGGAGAAGTTTGACCCAGATGCAACCCAATTCATGGAATTTGAAAAACTCTCCGAATTTGCAGCTGCTCTGGATCCTCCTCTTCATTTACCAAAGCCAAACAAGGTTCAGCTTATTGCAATGGATCTGCCCATGGTAAGCGGGGACAGAATTCACTGCCTTGACATCTTGTTTGCTTTTACAAAGCGTGTACTGGGCGAGAGTGGAGAGATGGATGCTCTCCGCATACAAATGGAAGACCGCTTCATGCAGTCCAATCCTTCCAAAGCCTCCTATGAGCCCATTACAACTACATTAAAGCGGAAGCAAGAGGAGTTATCTGCTGTCATTATCCAACGGGCTTATAGAAGTTACCGTTTAAGAAAAACAGTACACCAAGCTTCATTTATGTATAATAAAAATAAAATGGAAAGGGGGGCTGGCCAGCGTATCAGAGATGAAATCCTCATTGACAAGATAAATGAGAACTCGTATACAGAGAAAACGGACTTGACCATGTCAACGGCAATTTGTCCGCCATCCTACGACCGTGTCACCAAGCCCATTGAAGAAAAACATGAAAAGGAAGGGAAAGATGTACGGAAGAAAAAATAAAATGCACGCTAGAAATTCCAATTGGGGCATAAATTGTTTACAGCCTGTGTGTGTGTGCGTGTGCGTGTGTCATGTAGTTGGACCCACAGAACTCCTCTAGGCGGTATATGCCAAATGGGCAGTTTTTACAAATCCACTGTATTCTTAAGGTCAGTGCCTATAACAAGACAACAACCCCTTGTCATCAGACACGGGACTGCAAGGCGTGGGAAGCATGACAAGAGGTTACTGTTTTCATTACCAGCTGACACTGCTGAAGAGGAGGAGGAAAATGGCTAATCAGACTGTAGGGACCAGTAAGGGGTTGAATAAAAAAGAAAACCTAGTATTTTTTGTGTGTTAAACATGAAACACTTAGTACAGTCAGTGTATCCACTGTTTGCATTTCAACTGCCACATTTGTCATCTTTCTACAAAATCTGTGTTGGTGGATTCATCATCTTCTTTTTCTTTTCTTTTTATTCACACATGGTGACTATTTTTGTAAATGGGGTTTATGTTGGGGAAGGGGATAAGTGCTACTTTACCAGTATGAGGACCAGGTGTTCTATTACACGATTCTCTCTCTCTCTCTCTTATATGCACACCAAAATGATTTGCATGGAGGCATGCTGCACTTATAGATCATGCATGGGGGGAAACATTTATGTTATAAAGGATGACAGGTTTTCAACAACTCTGTTAACGGCGAGGGAAATACTTAATTCTGAGGTGCTTAACAAAAGTATCCATGTTGTGTTACATCCAGACCAGGCTTTAAATGCCTCTAAAGTCCTTTCTAATCCACAAGAGCAAAACCAGTGAATTATTTTTGAACAATTCTTATCGAAAAAGAGTTGGAGTCAGGAATAACCGGTTTTAATATCCTTCTCAGTGTTCTCCCCTGTATGGTATACTTGAATCAATGTGCCCCTAAAAAAACACTAGAACTGACCAAAACCCCTTATGAATTTGTTCTGCTTTATCCCGCAGCATTGTTTAGCCATCTTCAGCTCTCGGCAGGGTTGCCAATGTATGTGTTCAAAAAGAGCTCTGTTTGTTGTGTAAATAGCAATTTTACCTGTGGTGCACGTTTGAGCAAATGAACAACGACCTGAGCACATTTATTGCATCAGATATGTACCACACTAGATTTAGTGCGCAAGCTTTCAACAGGTAAAATGATGTATTCTGTACCATTATAGATAGCTTGGATTCTATCAGTGCATGTTTTATATTGCCTCTGCTGCTCTTCCTTCAAGTGTCCAGAATCTTAAGTATGGGAAGCCATAGGCCAGAGGTAAAGTGATTTTAAAAAAGTGTTCAACAAGACCTCATTCCCTCATATCATTAAGCAATATTTGCAGCTACTTGAGAGATTTTTTTGTTTGACATTTTAAAGATTTTAAGTGGAAAACAACTCATGTATAGCCAGACTGTACAGACATGTTACAAACTGCTAAACCTGTTGAAAATAGTGGTTAGAATTTTATAAGCAAATATAAATACTGTAAAAAAAATCATGTTATTTTATTTTTGAGCATTATGTACATAAAATAAGAAACAAATTTTATCTTGAGATTGATGTTGCGGCCTTTTGGGTTACATTCTGTCCACAGCACTTTTTCCATGGAAGAACTTCAGAAAATAAGAAACGGAGACGGGTAATTGTAGCTTTTCTGCTTTTAAAACTGTGTTTGCAAATATTTTCAAAGTGCAATAATTCAATAATTTGTGAAGGAAAGATTTACAATGTGCTTGCTTCCAAACAGCTATTCTTTGCATTTGGAAGAGGATGTAATATTTTGTTTAAAATACTAGCAGTGCCTGCGTTGGAAATGTAGCCTCTTTCTTTTTTTTGATTCACAGAACCATGTTTTGATCCCCGCCCCCACCCCCTGTTTTTATTCATGCCAACTGTCTTTATTTATTTGACTCCTGCTTTAATAGAACTGTTACAAATATATCTTGGGTCCACTGTATTTTTTCACAGACAATACCAAAATTATGTAACCAAACACATCAGGACATTTTATGTTTCTTACACAGGATATGTTACTAATATTTCTTTTAATAAACTATCAACTTATACTGTATTGGTGAACTGCATGCAGGAAATGCTACTAATATTCTAAATAATGCTATACATCATTAGTAATGTGCAAAAATAATAAAGATTAATTTTTTATTGTAATTTCCTTGGCTATTTTTCATATCTAGAAGAATATGAAATTCAACCTCTGATGTAAATAGGAACATAATTAAAGTGATAATGACAAGCATGTTTACATGGACCAGTGAGAAAATCATCCTAATTCAGCAGGTAGATTCCAATTTTAAATTAAATACCATGTATAAATCTTCATCCGGCCAGCTACAGAGATTATATATTTAATTTTCACAGAGGATGGTTTTCATTCAGATGCCTTCATCAAGTGTTCAGTATTTTGACTATATTGAAACTCATCTACTAGTCAGGATGAGGCTGCCTATAGTAGCACCATTTTATCTGATCCACAGGAAGGTTTATACTGATGTGCATATACATTGTTTTAAAAACTGGAATGAGTGATCTAAATCCAGCTGTTAGGGCCAGCTGTGGCACTCATGCACTGTTGAGTAGACGTTGTCTAGAGGGGTGGTGTAAAAATCAAATAAATAAAATAAAATAAAATAAATTTACCAGTATGTGCCATCACCGAAAGGTCAACCATTCCTCAATCTTTGCAATTTGTGGTTGTCATTTAATTTGTGAGTAGGGACTCGTTCTTCGAGATTATTCCTATCACCAAACCAGGCAAATAACCGGTGTTTCCTTTGCACTGCTGTTCAAGCACTGCCGCAGCTATGGGCGGCTTTAAATTGCCCTATTAAAAGAGTGAAACAAGTTGTAGTTACTTGGTGGTACCATGTAAACAATGTGTCCCAGCACTATGCAGCAGTATGTGTAGGTATAATGTCTTGTGACTCCTATCTCTAAAAATAATAATAATAATAATAATGAACAGGGCTTGTAAACCAAAAAGAAGTTTATTCATATAAAACACAAAATAATAAAAAGGTACAATGTTACAAGGTGTCTTTCATCATGCTGCTATCAGCTTTTATTTTACTTCTTTTTAATTTTAAAACACTTTCAGTTCTTTATGTGCCCATAGACAATTGCCTGCTTTGACACAAGTTCCAATGAGAACAATGATTTTTCACAACTTCTCAACACAAAAATAGACAGCTCTAACAGCACAGCTTTTCCTGAATTCTAATGAAACCTCTATCTTGCTCTTTCTCCTTCTCTCTCTTACACCTCTCCTTATATGTGAAACAGTGGCTGATATCCCGGCACCAGAAATCAAAACTGCATAAGGCTGATGACATAATTCATGGCAACAATTTCTGGTTTCTCCCCCAAAGGTCACAATGTACTTATGGAATCTCCTTCATTGTTGGGAACCTGGAAGAACCATGGGATAAGGGGAGTGTTTAATGATCTAAAATAGCCAATGCTGGGATGAATATTGGTGGTGATTTTCAGCAATTATACTCCACCTCAGTTCTGACACACACCCAATGGCTTGCCAAGATCAAAGGGATTCTATATGGGCCCTGGAACCTTCAGGGGAGAAATTAAAAATGTTTTATTTCTGAAAAATTGTCATAGCAGCTGGTGGCATCATCAGATTTATGCAGCATAACTTATGTGACAGGGTTTAAGCCAACATCTCCAGTCAGGAATAATGAAACCAATCAGCTCATCTGAATATTTTTTCCACACCTCTCAACCATTTTAATTGTTTTAACTATCTCTCCTGCCACACATCCACACATCAATCAAACCCCAGTCACCATGCATATATATAAGAACCTATATACAAAATTTATTTACAGTATGAAATTTCCACAAGACCCTTTGAACAAATAGGATTTATTCAGTCAACATTATCGATGGGTCCATTGATTGTGGGTCTACTCCGCTTGGGACCTAATAACTGGATTTAGCCCAATGTGTTTTCTGCCCTAGTAATTCTGAACACTATATGGAATTACCCTCTCTTATTGTGCTTCCTTATAGTTGGATGACACTTTTAAAAAAAAAACTGATTACAGTTTAATTCCAAAGTTCTAAGCTCTTCTTCAAACTAGTCAGTTGCCATTATAGTTGGACATTTAAAAAACTATTTGCATTCTCATTATGCAGAAGTAGCTAACACTTTTGTTTTTAATTACATTTTTAAAGGAAGTCAGAATATTACAAGCCACTGGCCAGTGATAGAAAATACACCCATATAATACTTCCATGCTGCTATAATTAATTAACTAAATAAACCAGTTACTATTAACCACTGTTTTAAAGAAATTGGGGTATTTTTATATTAATATTTAAGGTCTGTGGTAATTAATTTAAAGACTACCTTCTGAAGGAAGATTTCCTTTGGGGAAGAGGACAGAAAAACGGTGAGAAATCCGGCTTGCCAAGGTGCTGAGGCACATCTTCATTATTCAATTGTCCAGGGGGCGAGGCACTCTGCCAAGATGTGCCACAGTGCTTTGTCAATTGACTGAGGCAAGTTATGCAAACACCAGTAGGATTCTGGCCATCATTTGCATATCTAATTTCTAAATATTTGAAAGCACACACAGGAGGAATACAAGATTTTTATATGCAAATTGGTGCTAGATATGGACTGGGAGATGACATGAACGAGAATATAAATAGTCTGACATTTGGTGCTATTTTATATGCCTGATTTCTAGCTGGAATTTGAAACCTGCCTCAGTAGCACCTCTGACCGATATGAACAGTAGACCACACTGCAAGGCTGTTGTTACCTGCCATCTCACACCCAGAACCCCACTATATCCCCACATGTGCAAGAAAGAGAAAATGGGTTGGACTGGCATTTGTAGGGTAATTTCCCCCCCCCCCCAAAATATTTGAAGTTTAGAAATGAAATTTATTTTTTAGAAAGCAGACAAATATATTAGTTTCTGGGTAGACATGATGCTGCCCAGTCGTGGCAGGGCTAAAACCCTTGGATGTCTTCATTGTTTTCAGCGGGCAGCTCTTCAGTCCCAGTGGAGAAAAATTAAGGGGCGAGTGGGAAAGTGTCAGAAGGAATGCAGAAGTTCTATGTTTATTTTCATCAAGTGAATTCTCTAAATATGTTCTCTTTTTAAAGCTGTTGGTATTGTTGCTGCCATTGTGTTAGTAAAATTTAGTTCACATACTGGCTTACTGGTGGGACACAAAGGCTGCAAAAATGTAAACAATGGCTAAGAGCCAAAAATTTGAAACTTTTTGTTAACAGGTAAGACTTCAGAAGGATTAAAGCTGTCGTTACAGGTTTTCTTATGACGGAGACACAATGAATTTTTCCAGAATGCAACTGTCTAAAGAGAGAAGTTCTGGAGAGAATATTTGGGTTCCAAAGATAATAAAAGGTACCACATTTCAATAAAGAAGTCTATGTTTTCCATACTCTTAGAGGTCAATCTGTAGGTCAATTTCTGTGTTCAGCCCATTGTCCATAGCCTGTCCATCCACTGTTGCTTACTTATTGCTGATTTATTTCTAGTGGATCAGCTGTAAGCAGCATGAAAAACAGGGTGCTGTGCTGTATGTTTTCCATCTCTTTCATAAAGATGGACAATTAGAATGACATCCTTCATATGCATAGTCTGACATATTTCAATTACAGAATTCCAAAACAGTGCTACAGTAGTACAAGGCAGCCGAGTAGCATTTTCTTCACATCCTCTCCAACAAGTAGAGGGATGGCTTTGTTAATGCAACTGATTGAGTAGGACTAATATGT